ATAGGAGAAACAGATTAGACGAGTGGGCAGGCTGGCCGACATTTAGATAAGCATCTTCGGAATAAGGAAATCTACTCTGTGATTAGTAGCCTTGGGATGTTACTGTTACAAGGTACCTCCAAAAGAGGTACTGTTTTTCTGCTGTGTTTGATCTTATCAAATACATATGACTCACAACACTTCAGTGGGGAGCTCAAACCGAGTGCGGTTATCATAACAAAGAGCCTTAAGGTGCACCCAGGTGAGAGGGAGGAAAGAAAAAGAGAGGCAGAGCATTTGTTAACCATACAGCCTCTGGGCGAGCGGGGTTACTTTATTAGTGCGGCAAATAAGGAGTGAATATAGTCAGCTAGTAGTTAATGGTCCCATGATGAACATACAGCATTGCCGCCTGTAAAGATTCTTATCTGTCCTACAATACACTAGGCCTTTGCTTTAGCGTGTGTGTGTGTGTGTGTGTGTGTGTGTGAGGGAACACTGACATTGTATCTGGTGTTGTGACAACACCTTGAAGTGGATTTCATACTTCAGCAGAGAAACTGGATATAGTCTGATAAAAGCAAAAATATATTTCAGATGTGAGACATATTCAGTACAATATTATGTAAAGAGGAAGTGTGCAACTGTGTATAATAGATATGTGATGTAGAAATGGCTGTGTATTATGCAAAATCACAAACTATGTATGACACAATCCTGTCCTTTGCTGAAAGCATCTGAAATTAAGTAAAGTCAATATTTTCACACATTTTATGTCCTTAGGTTTTGCTTTTTAAATATATAATAGGAAAAAAAGTCAAATATCTTGACACAACGGTTAATAAAAAAATATAGATTCGTAGTCATCTACTAAAATTATTGGCAACTTATTTAATAGTTTATTATTTTGAGTAATTTCTAAAGACAGAAAGGTTGAAAAAATGTTGTTTCTAGCTTTTTAAATATGAATAATTTGTGTTTTTTTTTTTTTACTTCTCTCTGACAATAAACTGAATATTTTTGGGTTGTGGACGAAACAAGACATTCAAGGACGTCATCTTGGGCTTTGGGAAACACTAATCGTCTTTTTTTAACCATTTCCTGACATTTTATACACCAAACGACTCATTGATTTATCGTGCAAATAACTGACAGATTAATTGACAAATAAAATAATCATTAGTTGCAGTACTGCTCTATTATAGAAAAAAATGGACCTTCCTTAAAAGATCTAAATTAACATTAATTTGATTACCTGTGAATTATTTTACTTATAGATATGTAGAGCAAAACAACCTACAGCATTAATTCCCTCATTAACATATGATAATAACATATGAGGACAGCATCCTCTGTATCCCCACCTCTCTTTCCCAGCTTACTTTTTAAAGGAGGCCAAATGTACCAAAAGCATCTTAAATCTGATTACTGTTTTCAATAGCTGTAACTCATTACAGTTACTACACTGTCAAAACGTGATTAATTGCATGTAATTGTATGTGACTGTAATCCAGTTAGACTCAATCTGCTACTTCCCAAACCTACCGTCACTGTACAAACATGCACACATACATTCAGCCACTAGAGGGCACGTGTTAGCTCAGCTGATGGGGACACATCCTACATGTCCTACAGCATGAGGCCTCTGACACCATGAAACACACCGACTGCTTTTTAAAGGGATTTGACTTCCACAGTGGAGTCCTCTAAAGACAGATAACTTCATGTCATGAAAATCTCTCTCTGTGCATGACTTCAGGATGCTGTTACAGCGTGTTGTCTTTGCACCATCGGGTCAAAATCCACCATTAGGCTGTTTGACAGAGGAAAGGTGTCACACTACTTGATGATGACTTAATCCCCCCATTAATGGATTGATTTTCCAGCAGATGAATCAGACTTTGAGGTTATTTTTGCTTTGACAAGACTATTTCAAAGTATGTTTCATGGCCCCTAAAGGCACATCTAAATGTAACATGAATGTGGTTTATTTCTGGTTTGGATACAGGCATTAAATAGTTGCTTCCAACAATGTCAAAAGGTCAAACAGAGGCAAAAGCTGTTCATATGGGGCAGCCTAAATCTTGAAAAACTCAGTCAAGATTTTTTTTTAAACAAAAATAATACTAAGAGTGGTTGCTGAACTATAGGAAGCAAAGGAATGTTTAAAGTGGAAGATGAGGCCTCATTGCTCTTTCCAAATAAATGCCTGCCCTGCAGCAAATGATCCATCTTTGGAAGTTAGCAGATCAAACATACAGACTGATCTTATTCTGTAGAGGTTTTTCTGGTTAAATAAAGGTTGAATGATTCTGATTCTGACTTTAAATTTAGCCTCCATGGGAGTCATATGTGCCATTTACACTGAGGTGCCGAGGACATGTTGCCACCGTTTTTTGAAATGTCCAATTCTGTCCCCGTCACTTTTTAAAAGCAGAATGTGTTAAAAATGTTCTGAAAAATAGCCTGCACCAGGAAATGGTAACTAACACATGAGAATGGTTTGCACAATAAGAAAACATACAATGCAATGGAGCCTATCCTAGCTGGACAGGTCGTCAGACTATTGCAGGGCTAACACACCTACGGCCAATCTAGAGTCACCAATTAACCTGCATGTCTTTGGACTGTGGGAGGAAACCGGAGTACCCAGAGAAAACCCACGCTGACACAGGGAGAACATAGAGTCTCCACACAGAGGGGCTTCCCCACACCGGGTTCGAACCCTCAACCCCAGGTTCGAACCAGGAACCCTCTTGCTGTGAAGTGTCAATGCTAACCACTGCACCACCATGCTGCTATTAAAGTCCATTAATTTATAAATTAAGTCGTGCATCATTGACAAATTTTTTTGTCAATGATGCACGGAAAAATTTGAAGGGGTTATTATTTGTAGGTTATTATGCAATTATTTTACTGGTCCCAGCCAGTAAAAAATGGGCTGATACGGGCCGATGAACTAACATGAGTTTGACATCCCTGCTGTAGACCCTTTATTTATTTCAATCTGAGCCCTTATATTCCAGTCAATCTGTGGTTTGACCCAGGAAAATTGCAATAGTAATCATTCAAGGTTTTGTGATCTCTTGGGACATTCAAATAACATTTTAAAAGTATACCATTATGTACTTAGTAAATCAAGGTAAATTCAGGGCTTGAAATGTCGCTGCATCACACAAAGAAGTGCTTCTTAACATTATATTTTCATATAATATATGTCTAAACATTAGTTTTTCAGGATGTTACCATCAGATATGACCTGCCCTGAATGTTTATGTGCAATTAGGTTGTACCCTTACCCAAAAATGACCTTTTTCTGAATCCAAACAGTCAGAAAAGTCAGTAAAATTAGGTTATAAAGCATATTAACATTCAATTTTCTGCACATGTAGATTTATTTGTCCATGAAAACCATGAAGCATATCAGCACTCAGACCTTAAATGGGACCAAACTTGAAACAGGACTTTGGTTTAGCTGTTGGTGCCATTGAAGGCTGATATCTGCGTCTAAGCTGCCTCTTGAGAAGGGTATACCAAACTAGAATTTGCCATCTTGGGCAGTACCAATTCATGTAAATTCTGACCTGGACCCATAAAACACGATCACCACCGATTTCCCATAATGTTTTCAAACACAAACAAATAAAAGTTTCCACGATTGCACCGCATGTGTATCCTATCCCATCTATCAAAAAAAAACCTTGCAACAACTTCAGACTGTTCAGAACTCAGCTGCAAAGTTTTCAACCAAAACCATGGAGCATGACCACATCACACCAGTTTCAGCCTCTTTAATTACTTTTAAGACTCTTCATGGCCTGGCTCCAGATTACATTTCAGACCTGTTAGTTCCTTATGAACCTTTACGTAGTTTGAGATCCTCAAGCAAAGGTCCTTTGCTTGTCCCAGAGTCCAGACTGAGTACCAAAGGGGACACAGCTTTTGCCACCAGGGCCCCGAACTCTGGAACGACCCGCCCGAGGATATAAGGCTGTATGAGTCACTGGCTTCATCTAAGTCTCTCCTGAAAACGTACTTCTATCGGAAAGCACATCCTGACTTTATCTGAGCTGTCTTGCTATCTTACTGATTTTAATGCCCATTTATTATCTTGATTTTAGTTTTAATTGTGTTCAGTTTTACTGTACGGCACTATGTGCCAAGTTTTCTACAATTTAAATAAACTGTTTTAAGTGATTGAAGAAATAAGATGATGACAATAAGAGTAAAGATGCTAATAGAACCAGTCAGCTCACACACTCTCTGTATCTCCATGTCGACCCAAACCTTCACCTCCCCTGCACTACAGTCCCCTGCATAACTCTAAAACTTACAACTTATAGATATGAAATATGAAAATTTGGCCAAATAAAATGGTTGTTGGGTAGTTGTACTTCAAATACAGGTATAATACCTCAGAATATCCTCTTAAAAGGTGTTTTATTGAAAAGATTGACGCCAAAAACTTACTAAAAGGCACCAAATATGTGGGATATGTGTACTAAAAACTTTGCTTTTGACCTTGAAAAAAGATTTTCCACTAAATCCATGAAGGTATACTTTTAATATATGATGCAGGGGGGTATTAGGACCAACTATGCTACATTACTATTGCAATTTCTCCTATTTTGGGACCAGTTTTGGGTCAGATTGACTGGACTATTACATGTATGTCCCCTTGCTTCTCCTCTGAGCTGCAGCTGAGGGTGTCACTGCTGATCGCACTGCTCGGCGCTGTCCACGGTCCGTGGTGCTGAAAAGCAAAGGGACACAACAAACCCACAGTGTTCTGTAGTGTCTATTAAATCCACTTTATATGGCCCACAGTTGTGACACAGATTGGGAAGTCAATTTGAACAAGTCTATCTGCTGGAGGTTTCTGCACTGAACTGGGTTTAGCACTGGTAATATTATCTGGATCGAGCCTATAGAGTGCCATGTTGTGCCCCGTGCCCGTTACGCAACAAGTCTGTGATCACACAACCGGATGAAGGCACGACAGCTGACAGGGCTGACTCACACCGGAATTTTTTTTTTTATTATCACTTTACACCGTTTTATTACCATCCGGGCATTTTCCCATCCGGAAACACTCCACAGTATGCTCCTGGTCCTTCATGCAAATGGACATTGTGGTTGAATAAAGCTGTTTCTGCAGCCCACATAGACGGAACATGGCGGAGGCGGGCAGCACAGGAGGCGACTGTGGCTCAGCTCCACCTGACGTGACCGACTCGCTCCCCGGTGAGGAATACGAGTGCAAGATATGCTACAACTGCTTCGACCTGAACCGCCACACTCCCAAAGTGCTGGGCTGCTCCCACACCTTCTGCCAGGAGTGTCTAGAGGCTCTGCACTCCCTGGAGGGTCGAGGATGGAGGATCGGCTGCCCCGTGTGTCGCCACCGGACTCCGGTGCCGGAGTACCGCGTTCACAACCTCCCGGACAACCGCGCGTTGACTGAGTCGCTCCCGCTGAAAAAGCAGGAGCCTGCGGACCTGTCACACACAGATGTCCCGGGCATGTCTCCATCCCCGTCCCAGGAGAGCAACTGTGAGACTTGCAAACTAGTTGCGTTCGCGAGCGGCTGCGTGTGCGCCATCTTCTCCTTCCTGTCCATGGTGGTGCTTTTGTTCCTGGGCCTCATCTTTGTGCATAACTTCAATCACGCTCCGTGGCCCGTCGGTCCCATCTGTCTGTTTGTCGCCAGTGTCCTCGCCCTGTTCTCGCTCATTCTCACCTGGTTAATGTGCATGTTGAAGTACCGACCTGAAACTGAGGCGAGCAACTTGAGTTCCTTCACCTCTAATATAATGTGACACTCTGGCACAAATTCAGCCTGGTCAGTATCATAAAAGGGAAATCTGTTTATTTTAATGTGCTCGGACATCCTTATAAATGTCAGTGTTTGTTACTATAAATGACGTCACATTCCACTGGACAGCCATCTCTATTTACCTGAAGGAGTATTTCACACTTGTTATTTTGTTTACAAACGTAGGAAAACATAATAAAATTTCCAAATAAGAATTTATCGATATCTTTCTCGTCGAGCCCGGTCTCAGGTCCAAAGTCGTCGAAAACCGGCGCTTGGACAGTGACTTGTGGCTTCAGAAGCCAACAAGAAAAGGCGCCCTTTAAGGTTAGCATAATGCGTGGCCTGTTGCCATTATAGTTTAATAGCGCTGTTGGCGTCTGGGAAACACAGCGGGACAAGGACGAAAGTTAACAAACACAGACTCTCAATCGAGAGAGCGATGTTCATGTCCCGTAAGATTCTAAAGCCAAACCCTGTTCTTTTTTCCTAAACCTAACCACGCGTTGTTGTTTTTTTAAGGGAAAAAAAAACATCAATTCACGATAATGTACGGACGTAGTGCTTTTATTTTGAAAGAGACTGTATATAATGTAAAATTTCCTGTGAAAACGGAAGTGTATTTTGAAAGAAGACAATGCACGTAACAAGTAGAAATTGACACGGTGTCCCAGAAACGTCAACAACCAACGCACCCAGAATGCCTCGCACGTCGTATCTAGATGTGGAAAATCCATGACTAAGCATGCCAATATGCGAGGGGGTCGGAGTGAGAATGTGTTGTTGCTTCACATATTGATGTTTGGTCATGGACTTTCCACATACGACGTCAAAGGTACCCTGGATGCGTTGGTTGTTGACATTCTGGGTCACTGTGTCAAGTTCTGCCTGTTACATACAGTCTCTTTCAAAATAAATGTACTACGTCGGTACAACCCCACGAATTGACTTTTTTTTTTTCCTTCAACAACAAAAACGTGGATAGGTTTAGGCAACAAAAACCAACACATTCTCACTCTGACCACATCACATATTGACGTTTTGGTCATGGACTTTCTACGTCCACATATGCTGGTCCAAGGGACCCTGGGTGTGCTGGTTGTTGACGTTCTAGGACACCGTGTTAGGATCTCTTGCTTCAAGATACACTTCTGTTTTCACAGGGATTTTACGTTTACATACAGTCTCTTTCAAAATAAACACACTACGTCACTATGTCACCAAAAAATTGATGTTTTTTTCCCTCCAACAACAAACACGTAGTTGGGTTCAGGCAACAAAAAGCACACGGTTAGATTTAGGAAAAAACAACAGGGTTTGGCTTTAGAATCTTACGGGACGCGAACACCGCTCTCTCGGGTGAAAGTTGGGGCTTGTTGGACCCATCCACTACCCCTTAACTTTCATCCTTGTCCCGCTGCGTTTCCCAATGACGCCTCCAGGCACTGTTAAACTATAACGGCAACTGGTCGCGTATCATGCTGATGTTAAAGGACGCCTTTTCTTGTTGGTTTCTGATGCTGCAAGTCACTGCCCAAGCGCTGGATGTGACGACTTCAGAGTGAAACCGGGCTCATTTCACAGGCATTAAATGCTGGTACAAAAAACAAATGGGAAGAGTGGCAGTATTCAAAATATGCACAGAAGTCTGACACAAAGTCTGGTCTTTGGGGTTTGATAAAGTCGAGCCACCCTTACCCTGATATATTGGTGAATTTATCTTGTATTCAGAGGGAATATGTCAGTTTCTCCACTGTATTTATTTGATGGACTACGTCTATCCAATCCTTAGTTGAGGGAGTCTGGGGCTTCAGCGATCAACTTGGGCGTGATGCCATTCCTAGCTCTGACCCCTGACCTTTGAGGTCAATGGTACGCAGCATATTGTTTGCTTTTCTTACAGAATGCACCTTTTGTACGCAACTTTATATTCTTTATGTTTACCCTCTTTAAAGGGAATGCACTTCTTGTTTGAGTCAAATGCAACTGTGATGGTGTGTACAGGCATGTCATATAAAACGCTGACACTGAAGGCTTCAAATCATTTAAACAGCACTTTGATTGTCTTGCTAATGGACACATTAGCAGATTCAAGATACTGACTTGAATGATAGGAAAACTGCTCATTACAGCGCATCCTCCCCTTTCTCTCCTCCCACACTTGTTTCCTGCGCTGAAATGACAGATTTCAGAAGGTGCCTTGGAGCTACAGTGCAGGCAGGCGTATATGTGTACTGTATGTGACTGATTTATTATGATCTTCCTGTGCCAGCACTATCACTAAAAACACAACCTATTGTGCCAATGACAGAACCCACTTACCCCATAACCGCCTCTGTGTGATTACACTGACTCCCCGTGGAGGACCAGGTCAGCAGGGGATCTCCAGGCCAATGACCCTGAGGGGACATGAGCCTTCACAAGATGAGAGAAATAACTTTGGGGTAGGGGGTCAAAATAAGTAGTGTTGTAAAGCAGTGAAACAATGAAAGTGCAGATGACCTCCTAGGGGTCTTAAATCATATCATGGGTTTAAGTTTGCTTTCATATATACTGTGGGAACATATAAACTCCACGACTTGTTCCACGCCCAGATAACTCTCGAATGTCTCACAAGGAAGTGTGCAATAAAACAACAGCTAATTTAATTTGTGTGGATTTGTTTTCTATAAATCAGGGCCCAACACATTCTCGCCCATTATTTCCTATGTTTAAGAACATTATATTGGGAGCCAGTTTGGGTTATTTGATCAGTTATGATTCAAGAAGATGTCTCCATTTATTTTAGCCGCATCACAATAACACAGCGGGAGTTTATCTCCACTTAGTGTTGTTTTAAGAGGCGACACTGGTCTCAGGAGTTAAAATCCATCTCTTTCAGCTCTCTCAAAGGGACTGCTTCACGTGGTCATCCAGTCGGTGAGTAATGCCACTTAAATGCCACCATGACAAAAGCTTGGGAAAGAAAGGAGGGGTGGCAGGCTTCCACCGGGAGCCATAGGCAACACTATGTCTGGGGCAGAGGGCTTCGTTTCACAGGGACTGCAGGGCTTAAAGTTAAAGATTACTTTGAAATCTGCAGCCCCTACTACCATCAAACTCTCCCGCTACAGCCCGCCCTCCCTCCTCCCTCCAGCCGTCACTCCCTCTCCCAAAAAAATAAAAAGCTGTCGCCACAGAGCAGGGGATGAGTTGGGAGCAGATCCTCTTTGATGACAGAGAAGGATCCTTTTGTTCCCTAATCCCTACAAAACCCCTTCCCCCTCTTTTCCCAATGAGTCCAACTGGACGTCAAGGGGCTTCATAATCAGCCAGGGGCTCAAAAGTTATTAGTTTAGTTGTTTTACGTTAAAAGATTGGAATTTAACAGAGATACACCTCTTGCAAAAGCATAAATGTTTCATTTAAGTCTTCCATTTTCAATCTTTTTAAAGTGTGGAAGTCTCTTTGAGAGCAGCGAGGACTTACACATATCATTAAGTTAATACTCAAACTAGTCACATGACACTAGTGAGTGGTTTTCATAGGTGGATCCAAAATGAACAGCCATTAGCCACCGTGCACGCTGTCAAGAAAGACAGGGTCATCCAGAGACAGACAGTTCCACTTTCCCCTCTTCCTGTGTCTTGCCCTTTAAGTGTTTGCAAAGTCCGTCCTCGTGTCATTATCAGATTGGACACACGAATTTCACAGAGAAGATGAAAGTGTCCCCTTCGCTTACAACATCTGCCCTCTTATGGTTTGTGTCCTATCAAGAATCAAGATGACCTCAAAGACATAGCCCGAGGAGAGCGATTATCACCACTCTGTCTGTACACATTTGGACCCGTCATGTGATCACATGCTTGTGTGAATGCCATGTGTTTATGAGACGGAAAAGGCATGAACTCGTGTGTTTGCGTGTATGGATTTGTCAGAATATGTGTGTGCACAGACATATGGCCTAACAAGCATGCAAACACTCCAGAGAGCAGTGAGAGGGGATCAGTGTCCGGGGTCAAAGTGTCAAACATGGCTTACCTTGCCATTTGACTTTCAATATGTCGCTCTTCAGATGTCAGTGAAGACTTTGCTCTGTCTAGAACTTTTGGATCTTCTCTCTGTCAGGTTGAAACAAAGGGCATTATCAAAGAGAGAGAAGAGTGAAGCACAAAGCTAAAGTGAAAGAAAGACTCCCTCTGGTGCATAAAAGTGAGAATGCAGAGACGAAAAAGAAACCATATGCCTGCTGATTCAATTTTAAAATTCTGAATTACATATAAAATTTTTGTTTGTTCAGGTAAATGAACAAGTTTGATGATACAGGTAAAAACAGTTTTTTCATGCACTGGTCAGTTTTGAGATTTTGACTGTTTTGCTTCCACAACAGGTCTTCCTTCAGACTAGTGGAAAGAAAATACACATTAAAGCAGTGGTTCCCAACTGATCCAGCCACAGGGGACAGATTTATCCTTAATCATTAGTTAAAGGTCCACACAGTTTAATTCAGAATCATACTTGTGTTTGGCCATGTTGTCGAGCTAGTTTGCTGTCTCTGTCAAGCAGCTGTCCATTAGTGATTCACTCTACAGCATGAAACAGCACTTCAGAGTAAAGGATTTGTGCCAGAAATTCACTGTACCTAAAAATAAAATGTGTTTTTTGTTTTTTTGTTTTTTTTACAAATCTGACATGTTTGTGAGTCACCTGTGGTCCATTCAGAATGGACACGTGACCCACTTTTGGACCGTGGCCGACCAGTTGGGAACCATTGCATTCAAGTGTTTAATTTAGATCAATTTAGTGCATATTTAAAAAAAATAATGTCTAGTTTGCATATTTAAACATACAATCTCTAAAAAAAAAAAAGCAAGCAAAACAAATGTATAATACAAAAAAATGTCAATGTAAGTAATAATTTTTTTCTTTTTTTTCAAATTAAAAAATTACAATAAAAATGTCAAATGTCTAGTTTGCATATTAAACATACAATTTCTAAAAAAAAAAAAAAAAGAAAAACAAACGTATAATACAAAAAATAACTGTCAATGTAAGTAATATTTTTTTCAAATTAAAAAATTACAATAAAAATGTAAAACTTAAAAAAAAATTAACCCTTTTCAGCTTCAGTGTCGTATTTTTTATTTTTTTTTGCCTAAAAATGTATGGAATTTTACAATACAAGGCTATTTTTTTTAATAATTTTTTTTCTCATACTCTGAACCAAAAATGTCCACTTTGGCAGAACTTTCAAACACCAAACTTTCCAGTAATATTTTCATTTATATTCTGAAGATTTTTACAAAGGGGTTTGTTCATACATCATTCATAGCCTGATTTATAGAATGTTTTATCCCTAAAAACATGGTGAAATTTTGTTTTTATGTCTACTGACAGTATTTTCTGATTTATAGTGATAAAAAGACATTTCCAAAATTCCCACTGTAAAAACATTTGACACTAAATATGTCAACAAAATGAAACAAGAATTCTGAACCTGTTTTTCCCCCAATTTTTCAGATATTCGTTCTTAATATGTATACATTTAAGTGCATATTTAATAAAGTAATGCCTCTTTTGCATTTTTTATCATACAACTTAAGAAAACTTGTAATACAAAACACAATTGTCTGAGAAAGTTTAATGGTGATATCTATTAATTAAAAGTTTTACCCTATATCACCTGGGGTGTCTCCAACAGAGTTATGGGCACAAAAGGAATAAAGCTGCAGGTCCACACATACACCCCTATACATTGTGCAGTGCAGTGACCTAAGAGATATTTTGGGGTTCAGTGTCCTGATCAAATGTACTGGGTACTGTAAGTAATAACGGGAGAGATTTTATTTTCTACTTTTGGTAGCTGCTTCTTCTTGCACTGGTAAGTGAACCAGAAAATGACCACTGGTTACTGTCACAAGACCAGCTGATTGATTTTCAACAGTAACCATATGACTGCTCGGCTCTTTCGGGGATGGTTGCGGTCAGATGACTGCAGTTTAGGAAAAAAAAAACTGTTTTTCTACCAATCTGTGTATTTGACTGTTTCTGTTTAGAGTGACTAAATTAAATCTTCATGGCTTTATCTGTATTGGTTGAGACGGTTTGAGGTAGTCCTCACTGGCAGCTCCTCCACCTCCATCTATCTCCTCCACACCCATCTTCCTCATCTGGATTGCTCTTTCCTCCCTCATCACCCTACACTGACATGTACAAATGAGAGGACTAGAAAAGCAACAAGGCCAGAGGGGACAAGCTGAGGGAGAAGTACAAAGAGCTACGAGGCAAGGCCAAAAATAGTGATGAGACAGACAGCTGGGAGGAAGGGAAACTTTCACCGCACTGTAACTCCAAACTTCACTGGAAAATTTTCCAGAAACAACTGACAGCAGGCGCCTCTTTCATCCCCTGAATCAGTAACTCTTCTCAAAGATGAGCAATACTATCGACCACAGTTCTTAATTGTTGTAAACATTATAAAGCATCTCTTTGTTTATACGCTTCACTACAGCTGTTACTGGTGCACAACAGCTACTGCACAAAGATCCAGCGTGAGTTACAGTGTGCTATCTACTGAGTAAAGATGAGGAAAATGTACATTAGCACTTCCAGTTCATGACAACATACTGCTGGATTTTCTCCACTTAAAACTTTTATTTGACACATTTTTTATGACATCCTTTGAAATATTTTCTTTTCTCATAAAGCCCTGTGTAACTATTTCTACAAAAAGAATTACATTAATTAATACAAAATAAATGTGTAGGTTGAAATTTGCTCTGTAACTCTATCTCTAAACTTCACTTAAACACCTAGTCTCTTTTACAAGCCTGGTGTGGCTACACATTATGACGAATAAACGCCTGTCTCAATCAGACGCCTGGTCTGGTTACCAGACAGTTGTTTTTTTTGAATTGAAATTCTTCAGATGTATGAAAGCGGTTGTTTGCTATCTTAAATGATGTGTTAATTATGTGTTATTAATATTCCTTTAGTCCATAAGAGTCCTGAGATCAAAATAATCAAAAGGGTTTTTTCATAAAAATTAATTCAAGTTGTGAGTATTGTTGTAACAGGATACGGTGGTGTTGTGTTGGCCGTAACTTAATCTCTCTCTGGTGCGCAATCTCTCGGAGCTAGATGAAATTAATGATTAATAATTGATAAATTATCTGAAGCTTAATTATAAACAAGTGATATTCATACTGGTTTAAATGAACAATTTAATTGAATTTCCTGATCTTTGCTGAGCAACAGTTTTGTGTGAAAGTAATTAAAGGTCTGTCCCAAATATAGGCCTGTTGAGTTCAGTGATTTCAGCCAGAACAAAGAGACGTGATCACATCACTCCAGTTTCAGCCTCTTCACACTGGCTCCCAGTTTGGTTTAGAAGAGATTTTAAGATTTTACTGATTACTTTTAAGGCTCTTCATGGCCTCTCTCCCAGCTATATCTCCGACCTCTTGGCGCCGTACAGGCCAGGACGTCCTTTGAGGTCCTCGGGCAGCTGAAAACTAAAGGGGACAGAGCGGTTCTAGAACAGTCTGGTCGAGGAAATCAGGGGCCGTATTCACAAAGATTCTGAAAACACTCTCAGACAGCTCCTAATTTAGCCTAAAAAATGCTTAGTAAGGAGTCCTAGCTTAGGAGTGATTTAGGAAATTTCTCAGAACAACACTGAGCAAGGAAGAGACAGGAACTTTTACCTCAGTGAGGAGGTGTGGTTGACTCTGTTGCTAGGTGTTTTGCTTTCTTTTAACAGATGTGATTGGTTGTCACAAACATGCCCTTATGTGAACCTGCAAGGTGTGGACACCCAGTGGAAATGAGATGAACTGCTGACTGTGAAAGTGTTGTCAATGTCAGTGGGTTGAGGCAGACTCAAGTCATCACTGCTGCATTTTTCCAGTTTTCCATATATCTTAGTGTTGTGATCATTAGGTCGACAATGTGTGTATCCCTCATGACCCCTCATGACATAAACCACACATATTACCCCCGCATGATCTAAGCTGTAGCGTTTCAATTACTCACTGTCATAAGAGTCTGGAGAATATTCCTCCGGCCTCTTTGTGTTTCCAACATTTTCTCCTCTGATTAAGCCTCTTAAAAGTCATCCTCCCTGCTCCTAACAGTTTGTCACCTTAGGAACTATTTTAAGGACTAAGATGCTCCGTGAATTTCTTATCTTTACAAGGACCTAGTCTTAACTTCAAGGGGCAACTCACTATGAAGCTTTGTGAATACTGCCCCAGGTCAAGAAGCCAAACCAACTGCCCCCTTTCTTCAGAGCTATATTTAGGCCTATGCATAGCTACTTTCAGGGACCACTGCATTTGCATCTGCTATAGGCTACTCCTGCTACAACGTTGGACCCTAGTCATGTAGTCTCGTCCACAAATGGAGGAAAGTGGTGTTTCGGTGGTTTTGGTTTTGCTCTAGTAACATTTATACTATGTTTCATACAGGAGAAGCGGGTGGGAGGATCCGGTGGGGACTGTTCACAGAGAGAGAGTGGCGTCTGCAGCCACACACACACATATAAAACACACATTACTGTTTCACATATTTAGTGACATAGTTACCACATACAATTGGGCTCAGTTTCAGTCTCCTCTTGTCTCGTGCGCACACTCGAGCGTTGTGTCTCGGTCTTCCGTGACAAAATTAAGCTCATACTCGATAACATTGTATTATTAACGAACCTGGTCACGAAGGCAGGTCGAATAACCGTTTATCCGCTCGAGTGAACCGGGTCTAACCCGGGTCATCGTGGCAGAAACTGTCTTCCCAGACAGCGGGTGAACGCTAGTAACCCCACTGACGTCCCCGCTGCTCCAAGCACGCGCCACCTCCAGCGCTCCAATCCCTGACTGGGAAATATTCTGACGTCACACACTCGCTTCCGGGCTGGCAGCACTGGCCCGGCGATGCTTAGATTTACAATTTTACTCAATTTTATATCCGTTTTGTGACAGAGCGGCGGCTGTGCTTTATAAGCAAACACACACAGTTAACAGGTGATATCAGTATAATGTCAGAGCTGTGGTCACAAGGATAAAAAAGACTTGATCCAATCCCGTAGCGGCTCAGACGTTGCGGTTGAGAAAAGAGGTGAGAATATATGGCTGTGTGAACGCTTTGCAGATGTTGATGGCTGTTAACTGACGGTTGGCCGGCTCGCTCGGCAACGCGGCACATCGCCTCGACTGTGTCGTTAATGTGTGAGCAATACGAGGCTTGTGTCGCCTTTTAATTCATCACAGAATATTAATAAATAGACTGATTTTGCTGCAGCAGCGGGCCAGCAGCGGCTGCGGTGGTTAGCTGAGGCGCTACATGCTAGCTGCTAGCGCGTCTTCGAGCTAGCCGCTAGTTGCTAATCTTGATGCTGCTTTGCTAGCTTTGAATAGCTTCTGAGACGGAGCCTGCGGGGTGGAAAATGTCCTCCTTTTAGCTGATTAGAAAACAGACTGCTTACATAGTCAGGCTTTGGTTGTATCGTACATAATAGCTACAGTTGTGCACCGGTTATCATAACAACAGTGTGTCCTGAACTTATCTGACGTTGGCAGAGGATATATGGGGATAAGGACACAGAAATCAAAACATCGACACCACATTTCACATAGGAAGGACAAATATAATAGTAATAATATAACAGTCCGAGCTTAAGGAGGATATAGAGCCTGTGGTGACACATTTTCTGATTCAACTGCAAACGATTAGTTGGTGAAAATGCGTGTAATGATCTCCAGATTTCAGTGATAGAGGCACAGATTTATAATTCAGCATCATCCTGTTGTCCTGATGCTCACTCAGACACTTACAATTTGCATAAACTATATTTAGTATCAAATTATAGCTATATAGGTATATCAAATCATTATGGATTAATAATCTGAAAAGCTGTCTTAAGCTGTGGTCTTTATCTCTAGTGTGAAGTATATTGGCAGAAAGCCCAGTTTCCACCTTTGCTCAACACTTGAGTGCATACCAAACCCTTTACACACCTGTTTGTATGTGTGTTTGAGTTATACTGCTTTTTAAACAATATGCACCTGCCAGTTTTGTGGCATGACAGCCCTGCACAGATTAGCCGGCATTACAGTTATAGTGATAGTGTCGATTGTGAAGATGAATATGTGGTTAGTTGTCATAACAGTGTGTTATATTCTAATTATATTGTTTTCTAATGAGCTTTGTGTCATCTTTATCATCTGTGGTGTTGCTGCAATAGCTACAGGGTACAGGTGTGTGTACTTTATCAAAGCACACAGTGACTCAACCGGTGTTGCAAGTGTTAAACAGACACAGAGTGAGTTTTCAACCTCCTGATGTGCCAGCGGCTGTGACTTCTTTGTGTGTCTGCGAGGCCCAATTACAGTCTGATTATGTCGGTTGGTTTTTGGTATGTGAGCTGCTGCAAAACAGGTGAAACGTTGAGAGGTTGAGAGGGTTTGTGCAATGTGTATTAGGATAAATGCTTGACAGTAAAAGCAGCTGCTGCTTGCATTCTCATTTTACCCAGCAGCACTATATAAAAATACAATTTTATAATGGATATGGGCGGACGTACCAATGTGCTCACTTTGTATGGGGTTTCATTTGTGCCAGAAATATGTCACATGTGCACCGTCTACGTCGACTGAACTTTCAGCTGCACTGCAACTGATTTTCTTTCTTTTGATTGCTCACCTTTCTGTGTGTCAACCAGATGTGTCGTCCTCTCTGTCGTTTCACTGTGTTGTTCTGCTTGCCATCCTGATAAAGAACACAATATAACATCATAAACTTTATTGTCCCCATAGGGAAATTTGACTCGGACTCAGGAGCTGCACAAGTATTGCTGCCTTACAGTAATCATCCAGAAGAAATGAAAAGCATACACCGTAAAAAACAACATACAAACACACACTACATTAACAGTATTTCACATCAGCCACTCATGTATTGCACAGAGCCCCATGAGGAAAACACACCACCCCAAAGCATCAAGCAACCTTATTTAAAATCCAAATTTAGGTTGCCTCCACATAATTTTAGATGAATTAAAAAAAACAATTAAAGAAGGCAGAAAGCAGCTGCAACAGAGTCCGGGTCGCGAGCAGAGCAGCGCCACCAGAAGATGTGTTGTTCTCCTTGTAATTTGGCTGTTTTATGGTTGCCATGTGCCTATTTACTTTTGTGTGAACCCATTGCACGTTTTGTACAGTACAGTACAGTAAGGTTAAAATCAGGTTTGGTAGAAGAAACCACAACTATGACATTCAACAACACTGTCAAGTGCAGGCAGAACGATAAAGGGCCCTCGCAGTGAAGGAATTTCCCCTGCGGTGATCAAGCGTGGCTCAACAGCGAGATATGTGGTGTCACTGTCATTATTTGCTGTTTTTGCAAATTACTTCATTTATCCTGATTGTAGTGTTTTGTAAATAATCTTTAATGAAAGGCTGTTATTAGGTGCATTGTTGCTTTTTGACTGACAAAAATGACACATTTGTAAAACAGATTAAACACTTGTTCATCGTTTAATGCAGAGTAAACACAGAGAGGCAATGAGGTGCAATGGGGGGGGTGTTTTTTCAGCTGTGACACTGGTTGTGCCTGGTTACTATGATACAGAATATCTATGGAAGTAAAAATGTCTCTGGACCAGAAAAATGCAGCAAATGAGTAGTGTTCAGTGCAGAATAGATGCTCAGCGCCTTTTTGCATACTACTAGCATTTATATCAGAGTTTAAATATGCAACATTCCCATGGAAAATAGTAAAAACATAGCAGTTGGGGCGGTTTTCTGTCATCCACTGCAGTTAGCTTGTCCGTAGCGTGGTATTGCAATATTGCGGATATCGCGATAGCAGTGCAACATTCATCACAACACAATCAGACGATACGTCAGGACAAAATGCAAACCTACAGTCAAACGACAGGGACAATGACGCATCGGGACATCGTTCACAACAACACAGTTGTACCACACATGATGACAGTCAAAGGACAGGGAGGAATAGACATAGACATAATTTTGGCACAAATGGGACTCCATAACTTTCAAATGATGGTGAGAGGCAATCATCTATTGTTGTGTGAGACCAAATCAGCCCCTGCAGTGTAATATAATACTGGCCAATGGCCATAAAACAGTGTCACAGTCCCTACTGGAGCATAAGATTGTGGTGCAGTGCAGGGGACCGTTGTTGGATAGCCTAATTGGACACTCGCTGAGGACTCACAGTCTAACTGAGATTCTGCCCACGTGTCTCTGTTTACCTTTGAGGTGTAGCACGCTACAGGAAAAGAATATTTGTTTTTTTAGCTAAGAACTTCCTTAAGTGTTCTCAGATGTGCCGCTAGACATATAGGAAGGAATATTTAGGTTGGTTCCTGCAGCTTGTGTTTACATAAGCGCAGGCCCACATCAGCGGTCAGTGTTAGATTCTTCTCAGTGCTGTTATATTAGCTGGCCAGGTTATGCCGGTCTCCCTTGTGACCCCCTGGACCTCTCGTTCCAAGCTGCAGAGTGAGTCACTGCTGCTAGTTCTTGCATACTCTGGCTCAGTGGCAACAGGGCCACAATGCAAATTACACTCTGGCCCTGAGGATGCACTAGAATAGCTGAGCTCTGGGAGACAGTCGGATTTGATCCAGGGGTTTTTGGAGTACAGTCAAACAAGAGAGCTATAATATTGGATTTGCAAACATTATTATGCCTCGTCATGGTGTGAGAGGGGCAATGTTTTCTTTAATGAAACAAAATGAAAACAGCAAATTTTCACGTCTTTCAACTTATCATCTGATTAACTAATCATTTCAGCACTTTTATTAAATCTTGGTGATGTTAAGTGTTGTATTGTCTCTGTGAGGTTGGGTCTGTGCAGCAGGGCCAGCAGATCTGGTGAGATACATAGTGCTGACTGAGAGCCGGCCTAAGAATAGGCAGAGATGATCTGCAGGAAGGCAAAGATGCTTTTACCAGGAGGCAGTAGATTTTCTGCATCTTGATAGTTTTAAATGTGCTGATTCTTCTTTTATTCCAGACTACTAAAGTTTCATGTTCTGTCTCTGTGTTGCAGGTCTGGTTGTTTTGCTGCACCAAAGAAGCACCGCCTGTTACCTTCAGCCAGAGCAGTGACCAGCGCAGCGTACCATTGCTTGTCTGGCTCGATTCATCTCCAGCTCTGACTTCATCCTCAAAGATGAAGTTGAAGGAGGATTTGAACCCCCTGCTGCTGCAGGTGTTCCGCTCGGTGGTCTGGGTCTACTCCGTCATCACCTTCATACCCTGGTACTTTTTCTCCGGAGCTGGCACCAACTTGGAACGGGCTCGTCGGATCAAGGCGCGCTCAGTTAGCGGACACCCAGCCGGGCCGTACAGGGCCATCAACAGTCAAGAGAAGCTGGTGGCATGGCTGCACCCTGGGGTGGACACCCTGGACAAAATGTTTGAATTTGCTGCCAGTCGGTTTCCGCAGAGAGACTGTCTGGGCACCAGGGAGGTGCTCAGTGAGGAGGACGAGATCCAGCCTAATGGCAAGGTCTTCAAAAAGGTGAGTCACAGACCTGTTAGTCCTGTGCACTGGGAAAGATTGTGTATCACGTGCGTTTCTTTTAAATGTTTGGTTTGTCAGGTAGGGTTGGGTTGTACAGAATTTTCGAACTGGCTTGATGATAAGCCAAAACACACCAGAACAAACCGGTATACTGAAACTTTCACCTCCCTGATCTCCCTCCAACCAGCTGCCACTTTATTAAGGTTTTTGTAGTAAAATAAGGAGGTATCTTATAGATGACTTCATTTCAACTTCAGGAGTCAGCCATTCCTCGTCCACTGCAGCGCTTTCAAAGTGAGCGACAGGAATAATTAGAAACATCCTACAAAGTTTAGCTCAAAACGGCGCACTGTCTCGCTCGCTGCCAGTTAGGACACCTCTTGGTGACATATCCAAAATGTTGCCACACTGGTGCAGTTTTACTTTTTTGGAGAGACTGAGTCCACTCCGTTTCAGTGCGCCGGTGCACTGCTTAACACATACCAGCCAGGTAAGCTCTTTTAATGGAGTGTAATCTGTAAACCAGGGGCAGCGACCACGTGATGGTCAGCTGACAATGACGTTGCCTACGGGCAAAAGCCATGGTAGCTTTTGTACACAAATAATTGCCTGCATGGACAGTGACATTCTCTATCTTATAAATCTACCTTGATTTGTTTGTGTTAGTATGAGCCATGTGGTCATGGTGACATATACGCCGCTGTCACCACTCAAATTTAGTGGCATATCCGGCTGATCACCTGGCTACAATACCCATCAAATGGTGCGCAGACTCCACCTACTCATTGTAATGGTACAGACCCACTAACTCTGCCATGTCGTCTCATCACCCCAAAAAACACATGAACTTTCTAGTAAACAAACTCTTGATCTCTTTCATGTTGTAGGCCCCCGCTCGGCAGTGAATTGCACGTGGTCTAGACACCAGTGGCTCAATTTTTCCTTTTATAAACAAGTATAATATTGTGGTAATCCAATGGGATGTTGCTTATTAATAATGCAGCACAACTTGGATTCAGTGTCATTGGCACAGGTTGCAGATGTGAGTTACTTTTCAATTTTCCATAGCGTGTCATTATGACAAATGCCAGTTCAACTGGTTTAAGCTCGCACACTGGACCGGACCAGCAAAACTGGAAATCGACGCACCTCCATTGTCAGGAACTAGGACATAGTCAGTGGGTGGTACTGCTCTTCACATGTAGGTTGAGAGTGGTATAAGTTTAGGTGAGTCTGTGGGATTACAGGAATTTCGCTTGTGTCTGTTGGGCTGACAGCGCAGTCTGCCACTGTGCACAGTGTGAGAGATGTGGGTGGAAGAGCAGCAGTGATTCTGGTGCTTTGTCTCACAGCTGAGAGCCTCCTCATTAACACCTGCATGGCTGCAAAAGCCCTGTAGATGGCGCTGAATGACTGCCTATGAAGGGCGGTGGTGTACCAGCAACAACATCAGACCTCTGTCAGATTCAGTGTTGGTGTTGCATATTACCTTTTTTTAAAGTATAATGCAGATAAACAGTGCTCATATCATGGTTGTTATGTCCTTAAAATCATTAAAGTATACTCTTCATATTTTTATATTGACTTAAACTGCTTCTGAAAAGATGCTTTGAAGCTGTGTGTTTGCATATACGTCAGTTTTCATGTTGTTTGGTGTGTTGTGTGGAAATAATCCTGAATATTGCTGCATGTTGTGTGCAGGTTATTCTAGGGAACTATAACTGGTTGTCATACGAGGAAGCGTATGAGGCAGCAAAGTGTTTTGGCAGTGGTCTGGCAGCACTCGGCCAGAGGCCCCAGTGTAACATCGCCATCTTCTGTGAGACCAGAGCGGAGTGGATCGTGGCGGCACAAGCCTGCTTCATGTACAATTTCCCACGTGAGTGACGGAACATCAAACATGTATGTTATTCAGACAGCCTACTGTGACGCACACGAGATAACTGACCCACTTGGCTGGATTTTAATTTGACAGTTGTGACCCTGTACGCCACTCTCGGACCCACGGCCATCGCCCACGGCCTGAATGAGACCGGCATCACGCACATCATCACGAGCAATAACCTGCTGCAGAGCCGTCTCAAGGTACCCGCTTCTGTCTGTGTCATGTCAGCCGTGTTAAACAAGGCTGTGCAGGTTGTTTACTCTGTGTAACATTAGGGCTTGATAAGAAGCTTGCTTCTATTTGCATAATTACTTTTCTCCTCTTACTCACTCCTCTCTCTCCCTCCTACATCCTCCTCCGTGTCCCAGGCCATACTGTGCGATGTGCCGAGGCTGCAGTACATCATTGTAGTTGACTGTAAACCCACAAGCTGGCCAAACATCCCCAGAGGCATCATGGTGTACAACATGGACGCTGTGAAGGAGATGGGATCCAAGCCTGAAAACAGTTAGTATTTGTGCAGTGTGATTAAAAAGGTTTTCTAATTTGGTTGGGGGGGAAATGGAAGTACACTGACAGAGGCTTAATACAAAGCCAACACCCTGATGTGTAATTGCAGTAATGTGCTGTGCATGAGGGAGTCAGCAAGAGGTCAAATCACCACTCACCAACAATGCCATAATGACATTAGTTGGCTTTTCAGGAAAATTAAGGGAAACAGGAATTATATTTGTGGAACAGCTATCACTTGAGCCGTCTTTTATAATTTTCTTCAAATAGTATTTGATAAAGAAAACACTGGAATATAATAGATTGGATACTGCAAATAGAGCACACTGTAATTCACAATCACATAGATTTATCCTGGCCTCATATGAGCAGAGGAAATTGCTGCTATTTGCTAGGCTAATTTATACAATGTAAAATGCCATAGGCTTGTGTTAATAACGTTAGCATGTTACATTTGTTTGGAAAATGTGTTGTGTAAGACAGTTGTTTTGTCGGTGAACCTTGTAAGCTGTAATGGAGCCGAATATTGATAAAGGAAAAGGAAGGGGAAAAGTCCGCTAGCCGCTAGGCTAATTTATACAATGTAAAATTCCATAGGCGTGTGCTAAAATATTAGCTTGTTGTGTTTGTGGGGAAAATGTGTCCAGATAAAGACAAGTGCTTTGTCTGTGAATGCTGCAAGTTATAGTGAAGCTGATTTGTGTGCTTGTGTTTGAAATTGTCTCTTTTAAGCCATGTTTAATGTGTGTTTAATGTGTGTTTTGAATCATCTCATCTTTACAGCACTTCACAGAAATCTCACTGCTAACTAGTGTTTTGGAGGTGTAACTGCAGAGTGATAAAGACACCACCGCACAAGTATAAATGCTCACAACAGCGTAGGCCATGTGTGTAGTCTACGGCGTAGGCTCTGCATAGAGCTGATGCACAAGTATAAATCCCACTTAAATTGAGAAAGTAATCAAATGATGATGAAATCTGTCATTAGTGGAAGCCCCACAAAAAATATTCAGACCCTTTCACAGCATACAGTTGTTAGAAATGGGTAAAAAAAATTTTACTTTTTTCTCCACTCAATTAAACAGTCGTTTCTTCATAATAACTTATTACAACCAGGGTTCCTATGAGTCATTGAAAGTGCTTGAATGTCTATATTCTGTGCAATAATAGAAATTAAAGTTATTTTGATATTGTCACTGTAACACAGCACAGTTGAGAAGTGTACATGCATTCACGCAGCTTTCTCTCAGCTTTTCTGCTGTGTTTGACATTTAAGAACTCTGGGAACTCTGTTTGACTAATAATGTTTGTGTTGGTGTGTGATCCATTTCCTGTCTAACCATCAGCCCTCTGCTCTTCTGTCTCTGCAGTCGCAGTAGACCGCAGACAGCCAGAGCCCTTGGACATCGCGGTCATCATGTACACCAGCGGCTCCACAGGCATCCCCAAGGGTGTCATGATCTCCCATGGCAACATCATTGCTGGCATCACTGGCATGGCTGAGCGAATCCCTAACCTCAAGTACGCTAATATCAGATTGACTTTGTCTCTTTTTCTTGTCTTCCGCAGGCAGATTTATTTTTCTCAAAATGGTGAAGGCATGACCCGCCCAACTCTGCTTTACCCTGCCTCTGATTGGCTTACACCTATACTCTTACCTTGACTATAACCAGTCTCACTTGCCACGCCTAGCCCTGGCCAGCCCAACTAACAATAGGCAACGTATATGAGCCAATCAGATGGAGAGGAGGGAGGGTTATGCCTTTACTATCTTAATAAAAGCAAATTAGCGTTCTGCAGCTCTCCAGATCTACCAACATATCATTCTCCTCCTTGTCTCTGTACTGCTTATGAAACACATGCACTGTCACATCTTTCCTCACATACTCAATTAACACCGCCTCATTATGTTCTTTTCTGTGTATATTATGGAAATTGACCTGCTGTTATTTCTGTGCTGGCAGTGAAACAGACACCTATATTGGGTACCTGCCGCTGGCACACGTTTTAGAGCTCAGTGCTGAACTGGTGTGCATCTCTCACGGCTGTCGCATCGGCTACTCCTCCCCTCAGACTCTAGCCGACCAGGTCAGTGTATAAAAACACACACACACAGCTTGTGGCCAACCTGTTTTTGTTCCAGTCAGTTTTTTGTCACATATATAAGATGTCGTCTGTATCACCAGCTAAGATGGAAAGGATCATTCATGCATTTATTAAGTCCTTCTTAAAGGGACAGTTCACGCCAAATTAAAAGTACATTTTTTTGAAGTGTTTCAGCAGCTGAAGGTGGCTTTTTTTTTGAAGGTTTGTTTTTAATGAAAATGAAGCTTTTTGCTTGTGTATTTTGTGCTGCGCCACGCCGCACGTTTCTACACTCTAGGCACCTGGTGTTTTTGCCGGAGCGCTCTGAACTCCTCAAGTTGAAAAAACTTCAACTCCAGTCAGATTATTTGAGAGGCGGGCCTTCTGTGGTGGTCACAACAACAAGTTTACAGTTGATAAACAATGGAGGAGAAACTGGTGGTAGTAGTTGCTGGACACCCAGAGCTATACAGCCTAACGATAGACAGCAGTTTGTCAAACTGCCCCTGAGTCATCCTGAAATATGCCAGGAAACATCCATCATTGAGGTGAAGCTCCTGGACCAACTGGTGGTACTCCCTGTGATCTACCCTCCATTTTAGGGTCTCATGTACCCACACAGATCTCTGTTTATCTGTGCCCAACAAACTATGTGCTGACAGCCTCTCACCCTCAACCAAAGCTACAGCAAGTACCCTCTGCCTCAACATTTTAGGAATTAGATACTAATTACTGGTAGTCTAATATCACGGAAAGGTTAATGTAAGGACTAGGGCATTAACAGAAAAGTCGATTTGTCGACGTGTCGACGTCAGTGGCACAAGTCGACACCCCCCGGGAGGAGTCGACAAGTCGTGTGTTTTTTCCCTCTCTCTCTCTGTGTGCTTGTGTACGGAATGCAATCGCTGCCTCTGATTGGCTTAAATACATATCCTTGAAGTGAACATACTCGGGCGTACTATGTGGAGCAGACTCGGCAAGGAATGTCCGCAGTCATTCGGGCTTTCATAGTCGAGCGCACTTCCGCGTTGTAGTTTCCTGTAAAAATGTCCGTGAAAAATCCCCACAATGTGAAAAATACATGCCCAGCAGTCACTGGTGCGCGGCGCGGTCTTAAAATCTGAGCTTTGCGCGCACAGGGCTTGCGGACGTCCAATTTGAGTCCGCGCGGACCTCCGTGGAGTCCTTTCTGCGTACGTTCCTCCCGAGTATGTTCGGGCCTAGACACACATCACATGTGTGGAGATACTTCACTTTCCTCTGCCGTGTCAGTGTGATGACGTCATCAAATGACTTGTCGACTCGACTTCGACTTTATTGACAGATAAGTCGACCTGAAAAAAATCAAAGTTGTTAATGCCCTAGTAAGGACGTGATGGGGTGGTTGCCTGACAATAAAAAGGCGCAGCAAGCTTTTTTTTTTTTTTTTTTGCATGCAATTTTTAAAAAAAGCCAGGGCGGTGAGCTTCTTTCTGTGTGATCGGGGCCATAGAGATGTCTGCCTTCTCCCCTATATAATGGAACTAGATGGCACTTGGCTTGTGGTGCTCAAAGCGCCAAAAAAATACATTTAAAAAAACAGCAATGTCTCTTTCTGGAAAGAGAAATCATGACCCAGTTACTCAAGATAATCAACAGACCTTGTTGTGAGCAGTTTCATGTAGGAGCTATTTCCTTTTTATCAGACTGCCCCCACTAACCATATCACAGCGCAGAAGGACGCATGCATCTACTGCTAGCTCACCTAGCACCACTGAGCTAGCTACCTGGCGCTGCCTCTCGTCCATGAGTAGATGCACGCTTCCTTCTGTGCAGTGATACAGTTGGTGGTTGTAGTTTGGTAGAAAGAAAATAGTTCCTACATGAAACTGCTCACAACAAGGTCTGTGGATTATCTTGAGGAACTGGGTCATGATTTCTGGAAAGACACATTGCTGTTGAGTTTTTCAAAATGTATTTTTTGGCACTTTTAATACCACAAATCAAGCGCCATCTAGTTCTGTTATATTGGAGAGAAGGCAGACATCTCTATGGCTGATATCTCCAACACTCAGCAACTCACACCAAAACAATCTAGACTGATAAACAGCACTACAGGTGAGAGGAAGAATATGCATTTTTGATTTTAGGGGTGAACTGTCTCTTTAAAGTGTTGTAGCTCCCTTAACCAAACATTCGTGGACTTGACTTTATTTTGTTGTTTTTTTCACACTTAGTGACAGTCAGTAGGTCACTGAGAGTCAATTGATTGTTGTGTTTCATGTTCACAGTCTACCAAGATAAAGAAGGGCAGTAAAGGGGACACCAGTGTGCTGAAACCTACCCTCATGGCTGCTGTACCAGTGAGTCTTTTTGTCCCTTCACAAAGTCAATAACAAATATCAGCTGCAGTCTTAAAATGTCATAATTATTAACTGAGAGCTTTATGTGTAGGAGATCATGGATCGAATCTATAAGAATGTGATGACCAAAGTGGAGGAGATGAGCAAAATCCAGAAGACGTTCTTTGTGCTGGCCTACAACTACAAGATGGAGCAGATCTCCAGAGGCTACAGCACGCCTCTCTGTGACAGGTAAAACACATATTATACTCCCGTATACGTGAACTGAGACGTTTACCTCTCCTGTGATGTATGAGCAAACATTACCCTCTGTCACTACATGGCTAATCATAACCTAGTGTGAATTCTTGTTAACACTGAGTCAACAGGTGAAGAGAATTATTCTCCTGCAGATGTGAATCATTGCATAATATTGATTCTGATACTGTGTTTGCTCAGGGCATTCTTCAGTATAAGTCAATATCTGGATGTTATGCAGAATAACTTTGTTTGAATAGCTTTTCCAGCCACTCATCATCTCCATGCTGTGTTTTTTTTTGTTTTCGGTACCTCGTCCCCCCACAGTCTGGTGTTCAAACGGGTGCGTGCGCTCTTGGGAGGGAACACACGGGTGCTGCTTTCTGGCGGAGCTCCACTCTCAGCTGCCACACAGCGCTTCATGAACATCTGCCTGTGCTGCCCCGTGGGGCAGGGCTACGGCCTGACGGAGACCTGTGGAGCTGGCACCATCAGCGAGAGTAAGAGAGTGGAATTACATGTGAAATAGCGGTTCTGGCTGCCCTTTGGGAAATTAAAGGAACACTTCACCCACCAAACAACCATTTGCATATCAGTTACTCATCCTGTATTATGAGACTTGGATTATACCGCACGACTTGTGTGAGGGTTTGCAAACAGATGTTTTCATATAGTTTTTCTATTTTAACTGCGGCCCCCTATGACTTAAATTCAACAAGAATTTCCTCAGTTTTTGGATTCTTCGTTCCATGGAGGTATGCGGGGAAAACAAAGTCTTTAACACGGGGTGAATAATGTATACACAGATGGTCATTTTGGGGGTGAAGTATTCCTTTAAGAGACGAGCAAATTAACAATATAGAGAGCTTGATTTGTGGTTATAACCTACGTTTACCTCTTTGCTTTTTTCCAAGTTTGGGACTACAGCACAGGACGGGTTGGTGCTCCACTGGTCTGCTCAGAGATCACACTGAAGGACTGGGAGGAGGGTGAGTCAAATGGCGACAGCCCAGCTTTTAAAGAAGCTGACAAACGCACTGATATTCTAATCAGGTTTGTGCTCCTCCAGGAGGTTACTACAGCACAGACAAGCCCAACCCCCGTGGGGAGATTTTGATCGGCGGCCCCAATGTAACGATGGGTTACTACAAAAACGAAGCAAAGAACCGTGAGGACTTCTTTGTGGATGACAGCGGCCAGCGATGGTTCTGCACCGGAGACATTGGAGAGTTCGAACCTGACGGATGCCTTAAGATCATCGGTAAGAAATCCACAAGCTAGTGGAGGAGTGTGTGTGGTGGAAGTGTTTAATCTATTAGGATAGTGATGTGTGTTCTCTTTCAACAGACCGTAAGAAGGACCTGGTGAAACTGCAGGCGGGCGAGTATGTCTCTCTAGGAAAGGTGGAGGCTATTTTGAAGAACTGCCCACTCATAGACAACATCTGTGCCTATGCCAACAGGTAAAATCCTGCACACACTCCCTCTGAATCTGTTTTTGTTTTTGACTTCTCCAGGCTTTTGACCTCAGTCTCACCGAGCACACCAACACTTCAGCCAGTGTCTTTCCTGATTTTCTGTCTTATTTTCTAACTTGTGGAATTCTCTTGTACTTATTTTTCAGTGACCAATCGTATGTGATCAGCTTCGTGGTGCCGAACCACAAGCAGTTAATGGCGCTGGCGGAGCAGCTGCAGGTGACAGGCACATGGGAGGAGATGTGCAACAACCCCCTGTTGGAGAAAGAGGTCCTCCGCATCCTTACTGAGGCTGCTCTCTCAGGTAGGTGGAAAAAACCTGTCTGTGGTCTTAACTTAGGGTGCTTTCACAAACAAGGTCTCGGTCCAGTTACAGACGAACTCTTGTGCAGTTCGTTTGTGGTGAGAACATGTTCCGACCTCACGTGTCACATGACACATTGTTTGGGTTGAACATGAGCATGTTACAGTCCTGGAGGATTATTAATGTGCACCTCCTCCTGTACTGCTTTAATATGCACATTCAGCACATCCAGTGCATCAAAACATTGTTTTCTAGTTGGAGCCGCGCCTTGTTTTCAAACTGTATGGTTTGACTAAAATGAACAATGACAGCAATATAGTCCACGATGAACAGTGCTAAAATCAACCTGCGTAGTTGTCCCTATGCACAAAATGTCTCATAAAACCTTCTCAACAAAACCAAAGTAGTGCTGGTGCTGGTGCTCTCTGTCATGACTTCACAGTTCACAGACTGGTTGTTACAGCGTCTGCCTTGTGCCAGACTTGCACCAGTGTTACACTGTATGTGTCACTCTGACTTGTGATTCTGCTCTCTCCCTCTGACCAGCGAAAATGGAACGATTCGAGATCCCCAAGAAGATCCGTCTGAGTGCCGAGCCGTGGACACCAGAGACCGGGTTGGTCACTGATGCATTCAAGCTAAAACGCAAGGAGCTCAAATCACACTACCAGGAAGACATTGAGAGGATGTACGGTGGAAAATAACCCACACAAACACAATCCAAACAACAAGTACATACTTGCACACATACACAAGGAGCTCAGAAGCCACTACGAGGAGTACTCGGAGTTATATACTTAAGATACAGTTACCAAACACACACATACACGCATATAATTACAGGAACATAAAGCGACTCATGCACCTCCTCCTCGGCTTTGATCAAAAGAGGAAAGAACTCTTGAATCCAGCGTATTGCTCTCTGTCGAGACCAGAAAGGCAGAAGTCCCTCACAGACAACTGAGCCAGCCGGATGTGCAAGGTGCGACACACTCCCCATACCCCTTTGATGGATTCAGCCCTTTGAGTTGCTATGACAACCGAGGCAGCACATGAAATAGGACGTCCGCATGACTCGAAGTGAAACAAATGTCAGGCTAGACGTGGATCAATGTCAGCGCTCCGTGTTCGTTGCTTCCGCCCCCCCCCCCCCCCCCCCCCCCCCCCCCCCCCCCCCNCCCCCCCCCCCCCCCCCCCCCCAGTTCAGCATGGTCGTGGACTTGAAGTGCAGATACCTGGCAGAGAGACGGGGCAGCATGAGCATGATAGAGGGATCCCTCCCGGGCTTTAAGTAACATTCAGGTTGGAATCTATGCAGGGATCTCTATCTTTTCATGATTATTTTTTTACATGTCGCTGTGTTTCCTTCATGTTCGGTTTGTCAGCTTTGAAACCCATTTCATGAGCTTTTTTTTACGTGTGTGTGTGAGGAGTCGGTGTTGCAAAGCCATGAGAGATTGAGCATTAAGATGTTTTCATACTTTTTCTTATTGTTATTTTATGGGTGTAATATTCTGAGGGTTTGTATTTCTTTATCGTCCTGTTTTTTATTGCCAATTTGTTTACGCTAATTGTATTTTAACGAGCTGTGTTTACGAGCTTTTTTTTTTTGGTCTTTTTCTCCCGTGTTCTAAAGTTAGTACACTTGAGTGTGTGTTTGTTTACTGACGTGACCAGTAGAAGCAATGCAGTTCCTTCTGCTCTCAGCCTTTGCAGCAGGATCAAACATCAACACAGAAGGCATCCACAGGGACTTTATCCACTCCTGCTCTTTGCCCCCAGCTTTATCTTTCCCATCTCTTTGCAGCCCCTGGATGCCTCCCAACCTATATCCTATTATTTTTATTTTATTATTTTTTTATTGGTTCATTGCATAGAAATAGAATGAGAGTTAAAGGGACATTTAAATCAACGTGGCAGGATGATCAGAGCCATGGTCATTGCAATCACGTTAGTGGGCTAACTAATTTAATGACAAATTAACTTAGGGCAAGTCGCAAACCTAAGCCCCGTTTCCACCAAACATTTTCATTATAGCACCTTTGGAACCAAAAATAACCCTTCAGACATGGTACCTAGACCCTAGCGTTTCCACCAAATGTGGGCAGGGATGTTGTCACTCACGGCTCCGTCCAGCACTCACTGTATTTCCTCCTTTATCAGTCTGCACCTTGTTTATCGTCCACAGAATGAGGCTGCACGCCGACATTTTCAGAACAAAACAAAACAGGCTGCAGTGAGAGTCTCTCTCCATGGGATGCATTTAGTCCTTCTCAGGCAAGCGCAGGGGTTTAGTGTTGCTGTAGCAAACAGGAACAACACTTTGCCATGCTTTTTTTTTTTCTTGGAGAGAGGATTGGGATATCTGCAGTTCACATAATCAGTCAAAATGTATATGTATTTTTAAACACTTGAAGATCCACTCATCACTAAAAATGTGTGTCATATAAAAACTAAAGTGATGGTCAAAGTTGTCACAATGAAATTTAAGGTGTGTTGATGGATTCACATTGTCAGCTCATGCATTGAGTAGCATTACAAGTTAACGTTCCACCTTAAAAATCGCCCAGTGAATTATTTTTCTCAGACAGCAAAACATCCTTTATTTTATAGTTACAGTTTACTAATAAAACTCCTCACAGTATGACATGATAACAGTGGTTACACAGGCTTCAAAACCAGCCACAACTCAGCTCTGAGCAGAGTGACTGTCCGCTACTGACCAATCAGACTGCAGTGTTCACAGCTCCACCTTTTAGTACCAAAAATGGGAACAGTACGAAACGCTTCCATTTGTACCATCCACAACTTAAAACCATACCAAACTGAACTGCACCGTAACATACTGCTCGGTGGAAACAGGGCTTTACTAAGGTGATGTTTGCCGTAATGACCAAATGAGCAGCGGAGTAGTATGTCTTCAAATAACTAATCTGTTACTTTTAAAATATGACTATTTCCCTCTGTGTGTTGTTGCCATTAATTATGTGTTTGTTAGAATATATAACTGTAACTGTGTATGTTTATTTCAACCCAATCTTGAAACCCATCGGCTATCGTCTTGTGGCGATAAACCCTCTGGGGGCAAGCGCTAATGTTTTAGGCTTATCCAGTGTAGCAAAGGGATATCTGGGCTTCCTCTTCAGTGGCCGATCTCTATATATTGTCATAGGAATGCAGATATCTGTTTATAGATGAAGCTAACCGCCGATGGGTTCTGAGATTGGATCACACGTGATGGGTTAAAACTTACTGGGGCACATGTAGATATCTGTTTATGGAGGTTCGTTTTGATCAGACCATGGTTGGTGAAAGACGAACATTATTCAAGATGGTTTGGGAGAGTTTTATTTTGCTTCTGTCAAGTCTTAGTCTTAGTTCGGTGAAAGAAAGAAACTTGAGTTGGTGTGCGGTTGTATTTTTCCATTTTATCAGAATAACAGGCGTAAGAATAGGCCAAAAGGGAGTTCTCAAACTTGAGCGTGACACACTTGACGGCCGATGTGTGTCACCGTTACGACTAACAATTGCTGCTTACTTTTGAACTAGTCAAACAACCACAGCAGCTTATTGAATGTCCTTTCTAGTCATTCTATTTCTATGGTTCATTTACATACTGTAACCCCCCACTTCTGCCACGTATCACTCCAGTCATGACCAATGCACCGTATGGATGTCTCCAAGGGAACTTCAGCAGTGTAGAGAAACAGTTACATTACTTAGCCTCTCAGCGGTTGCTCTGCTAGTTACTTTTTGGCACAACTGTGCATATTTTTTCTGGCCATAGATCTAGGAAATGTTACTTTTGTCCTTTTTTTTTTTTAACTGATAAATATAAAATACAAAATGAATGTGCAATATTTATACACAAATTTTAAACTTAAGTATGTAGGAAGGGGAAAACATGCACCAACAGCAGCCCCTCCTTAGTGTATGAATGTTTAGGCCTGTTACTCATACTAGAACACAACCATAGGAATAAATACGAGGACGGTAGAGAGACACTGATAGGGAGGTGTAGATGTAGCCCATTTGAACATACTGTACTAAACAATATAATGCTCTCTAGTAAGACTAAAGAGATAAATTTTATATTTGGCTTTGTAGAAACCGCATGAAGTGTGCAACTGTACCAAAATCACTTGAATATACTGTATATTTTAGAGAGCAATGAGAGGGTGGCGCTCCAGGCTGAAGTAATACACTCCTTATTTAATTGTGAGTATATAGCATAAACTCAGCAGACCTCATAGCAGTTCTGTATCTTCAAATTGGTTTTTGTTTGTGACACTGTATGAGCAATGTATTTAAAAAGGGTCTTTGATTCTGTCGACTGCCATTTGTTTGAACTCATGTACATTAGTTGCTATAGGCTGAGTATGAGTGGCACCCTCGCTTCAGGCTTTCTTCTCTTTAGGTTTACAGGCAGGAGTTTATCTGTGCTCAGTCAGTGGTCATCTCTCCCACAGCTGCCCTCTTGGAATGCTTCGCTTGTACTGAAGGCATTTAGCGTTAATAAAGGTACGGTCAGGTACTCTAACTTCTTATCGGATCTCTACTAAAGGGTTATTTTAGCATGTACAAACACAGCACCATCATGAACAGGTGATGCCGTTCCTCCCTTCTTGTTTCTTTCAGTCCTTTTTTTAGTTAACGGTTCTCTCCTGACATTTCAGTGGAACGTCAGTAGCTTACTGTGCTGTTTGCTGCTTTTCCTCTGCCTGGCTAGAGGTGGCTAGTTGCCTTCCGACACACATGAGCTGTCTTCAGGGGTCTTAAGAATGTGAAGCACTCCCCCATGTTTCGTTGTTAGCACACAGCGCTGCGTCCTGCTACGTCCATTTGAACTAACAGCAAGGCAAAGGCAGTGGGCGGTGCAAAGACCACTCCTGGTTTTTTTTGTTTGTTTATTTGTTTTTTTCACTTGCATTTGTAAATAAATAACCTATATAGGTTTTAGCATGGAGGGGATCAATAATTCATTCAAACTACCAATAACTGTACAGATGTAAAGTCTCCTGTTAACATATTTAATAATCTTTGTTACTGACCAGTTTTTGGTGGTCTCCTCCTTGTTTTGTGTGGTTAAGTGGCCCTGCCAGCCGGGCCGGGCCATTGCAAGTGTCTCCTACCTTATTTATTTGTGATTTGGCCTTGAAAATTATGTAATGAAATAAAGAAGTTTGTGTTGTAATCGCTGATGGTCTTTGTGTGTGTGTTTTTAGAAGTGTGTGCTCGACACCTGAACGCAATCTGCGAGACACGACGCGTATCTGATACGATCAGCGGCTTGATTAGAATCATCCTAAAACCAGAGTTGCCATGGCAACGAAGGCCAGTGTGTGTTTGAGTGGATGTGGTTTGTGAAAGACTTGTGTGGTGTGTGGATGCAAACAGAACATGCAGTCCTGGGAGCCAACCTTCAGTCAGAGCTAGTAAACAAAGGATTTTTTTTTCCTCCTTTCAGACAGTCATAGACTGTAATTTTCACATCATGTTGACCTTGGCGTCAGATGATTTATTAAAAGAAGAAGCTCGGCTCGCTGATCCTGCCCTGTATACCTGCTGCCGTGTGCATTTAAATGAGCCATGATTCCAGAATTATAGCGCAGTGTCTGCATGTTTTAGGATGAAGATGATGAAGTCATCTTGGATCTCAGGTCCTGATCTTACAACAGAGGGGCTGCCACTAACGATTATTTCCAGTATCAATTCATCCATCAAAATTTATCCCAATTATACAGATCCCACAGATTCTGTTCAAATGCTCAACTTTACTTTATAACTCACCTGTTTACTTCTTATTAAGGCTTGAAGTGACAGGCTATCTGCTCACCATCACTACAGTCTGTGAGTCAGATCCATCCCTCCACAGCTCCACCATCTCATCCACATATGGGCACTTCTGGCTCCAAAAATCCAAGATGGTGACGCCCAAAATGCCAAACAGTCCACAAATCATTCGGTGACATCATGATGGCTATGCCCATTATTTTTATACTGTCTTTGGTTTCATTAACTAAGGTCCAAAACCCCAAATACCCAAACATATTCAGTTTACTATCGTAGTTTGACAAAGAAAACCAACAAATATTCAAATCTGAGAAAACTAAATGAGAGAATTGTTGGTATTTTTCCTTTAAAAATGACAAACATGTCAGATGGGGTCGAATCAGTGGCACAAGGTAGTTAAAACGGGCCCGAGAGCACGCTATTGTGCACATATCGTCTCGTCACATGATCAAACAGAGACTTAACACTGGACAACATCAACATATACATTACCCAGCAATCATTATTATATCTGTATAAGACAAAAAAGGCATGTAATTTTGTTATAGATGCTACTGACTATTTTACAAAAAATAAAATAAAAAATGACAGAGATGTTCTAAGGTGGCAGTCACTCATAAGAGCCAAGACATTGTCATTGTCACTTCACAGGCCCCAGTGCAACCACACTGCCTGCACTGTCTATATTTACACCCCTGGGTCTAATTCATTTTTTATCCAAACTAAACAGAACTTAGTTTCCTGTCAACACTTTATAGGTATAATCCACCCACAGATAGTTTATAGCAGTGGTTCCCAACTGGTGGGTCACGATCCAAAAGTGGGTCGTGGGTTCATTCTGCATGCATGGCAAGTTATTTGCAGGCGGTCAGGTGTGTAACTACTTTATTTTTAAATACAGTGAATTTCCGGCACAGAGCTTTTATTTTGAAGTACGGTTTCCTGCTGTACAGCGAGTGACTAATGAACAGCTACTTAGTAGAGACAGCAAACTAGCTAACTAACATGGCCAAAAGGTGACATCTGGACCCCGTGGCTGGACCAGTTTGGAACTACTGGTTTATAGAGTAGCCTATGTGAAACATTTCAACATCTTATTAGTCGAGAATCAACAATTTAGCTATTTCTCTTTGTCTGTAGATGTTTATCTATAGAATATATGTGACAGCTAACCTCATATCACATAATCTGAGCTTGTCTGTTTTTTGTTGTCGTGGACAGTCCACCTGCAGGTGTATGTGAGTCCATATGAGTCCCTGTGTGTGTATCCCACTGGCTAGCTAATTGCTGTGGCTTTGCACTGTGCCCAGACCAGGCGGCAACTTTCAGGGCTGACGACTGAAGCTGATGAGGAAGTGCCACTTGAGGCTGGCTCCAAGACAGAAATCCCCATAGACTCCCATGTTAAAATGCCCAACTTTACAGCTAAAATAAACATGTTTACAGCCTGGTACAAAAAACGGTTTTGATCTCTATGGCTTATTTTATCATTCATGACAACTTTGCAGGGGTGAATTTTTTTATGAGCTTGCTATTAAGGCTTAAAGTTCTGCATAATTAAGGGTGTGGTCACTTTGACTGACAGGCTATCAGCTAGGCCTCACCGCAGGCCACACAACTTGAC